TGAAATCTCGCTCGGCGCGCGAAGGTGAGAAGAACGGCGCAGGTAAGGGGAAAGCGACGCTCGCGAGCCTTCCTGCGATAGTAACCGCCGGCGGCTATGCCCGTCTGTTGAGGGCAGTAGCAACAGCAACAGCAACAGCAGCAGCAGCAGCAGCAGCAGCAGCAGCAGCAGCAGCAACAGAAGTAGCAGCAGCAGCGGCGGCGGCGGCGGCGGCGGCGGCGGCGGCGGCGGCGGCGGCGGCGGCGGCGGCGGCGGCGGCGGCGGCGGCGGCGGCGGCGGCGGCGGCGGCGGCGGCGGCGGCGGCGGCGGCGGCGGCGGCGGCGGCGGCGGCGGCGGCGGCGGCGGCGGCGGCGGCGGCGGCGGCGGCGGCGGCGGCGGCGGCGGCGGCGGCGGCGGCGGCGGCGGCGGCGGCGGCGGCGGCGGCGGCGGCGGCGGCGGCGGCGGCGGCGGCGGCGGCGGCGGCGGCGGCGGCGGCGGCGGCGGCGGCGGCGGCGGCGGCGGCGGCGGCGGCGGCGGCGGCGGCGGCGGCGGCGGCGGCGGCGGCGGCGGCGGCGGCGGCGGCGGCGGCGGCGGCGGCGGCGGCGGCGGCGGCGGCGGCGGCGGCGGCGGCGGCGGCGGCGGCGGCGGCGGCGGCGGCGGCGGCGGCGGCGGCGGCGGCGGCGGCGGCGGCGGCGGCGGCGGCGGCGGCGGCGGCGGCGGCGGCGGCGGCGGCGGCGACAGCGACAGCGGCAGCGGTTGCGACAGCAGCGGTGGTGGCGGCGACGAGGACGGTGAGAGCATCAGCACCATCGGCAGTACCAATACCAACAGCACCGCACCAATAAAAATAACAGTAACAACAGCAGCAACAGCAGGAACAGTGGTAGCAACGGCGACGACGACGACGACGACGACGAAGAAGACAGAGACGGCTACGGCGGCGGCAGCTCGTTTAGCCCGAGGATGGAAGGAAGGATGGTCTGGACGCGCGCGTACCTGCTGCTGGCCACGTTGCTCTGGGAGCTGGCCCTGGGCTTCAACCTCGAGGCACGCATACCAGTGTTGAAGAGGGGCGCGAGCGGCAGCTACTTCGGCTTCTCCGTGGCCGAACACCAGGAGGACCGCGGCGACACCACGCCAAGATACATTAGCTGGTGAGTCGCTAAAGCTACGCTAAACCTCCGCCGTCAGCTTGATTCGCACGTCGCCGCCACCGCCTCCCGCCACTTTTCAACTTTCCTTTACACGGCCTTTTCTTCTTCCTTCTTCTTTCATTCTTTCTTTCTTACTTTTTTTTCTTCTATTTTTTTTTCCTTCTCTCCTTTTTTTCTTTTCTCTCCCTCTCTCTCTCTCTCTCTCTCTCTGTTTTTTTTTTTTTTTTTTTTTTTTTTG